TTCAATAAATTCAAAGCAGCGAGTACGCTTACATTCATACAAGGGTACAAGTGCAAGGCTTGGGTGTTTTTATCAGTCTCTGTGGAGAATGATAAAAAAAATATAGCAGACGGATTATCTTTTTATTAATATATATCATATAAAAGCCGTTCAGGAGAGTAGAGACGAGGTGTTCTGCCCGTATCTTCACGCTTTTGATTTGCTCACAGACCTCAGCGTTCCAGGCGATTGATAGGTCAGAAGAGGGTGTTTTGCTCAAGTTCATTTCTTATCTAAAATACAACCTGAGTAAAGCGCAGGTTTCTCTTATTTACTTGTCGGCGTGTGTATATCATGCTGCCAGTATCAGCAAATCATTAGTATTTTCATTCTCTATTGTCATTTCAAGAAAAAATCATTTAAAATTCAGGACAAACTATTAAGTGAATGCGCCAGATTTTAAGTTTTAATCTTTTTAGTTAGCTTGGCACAACGCGAAACTTCTTGGTCATCCTGCTGCGTGAGTCATCTCTTATATCTTGGATTCAGATTGGTAGAACGGTTTCACATGTCCAGACTTTCATGTTCAACATTTCGAGACATGCCATCATCAGTTTGAACCACATCCTAGTCCAAAATAGTTTCAGGTTTTGTTTTTTTGCATTGGTGAATTCACAAACTTGATATGCAGTGGCTTGACCAATAGGTTGCAGGGATTTTTATCTGAGAGATGAGTCAGTTTTTTTAAGCTACAGCTCAACTTTTTTGAAAACAAACCAACTTTACCTTAAATCTTCAGAATATTTCCTGTCAAAAACATCTCAAAACTTCATTTGTCATGCATGGCTGTCACAAGCACCAGCTGTAGCTGTTCGGAGTCATGTTCCGACGGTAAAGTTATTCGATGTGAAGAATTTGCATAATTGAGTAGCCTGATTTTTAAGTGTTTTTTGTCCCATACGACCAGGTACAACAGATGGGAACCAGCCCTCCTGTCAAAACTTTCCTTTGGCTATCACTGTTGATCAATGAGTATTGTCTATGCAAAATAAACACTAAAATGAAAGTTGTATGAAACATCTGGCACCAAAACAGCCTGGTTAAAAATCTATATAAAGAGAGCTCTTTGTTAAACTTAAGACTTGCACAAACTCCAACTCTATCTGAGGCTGTTTTGTTGTTATTTAAGGCGCTGTTTTTAAGAGTTCAGCTGAAGAATGTCTGCACTCCTCGCCATCTAAAGCTCGGGCCAAAGGATAAACTGCATGAAGCATCCAGAACCTGTCACAGAGCAGGTAAGGAAGCAGTGGTTCAGAGCAGGGTGCATTTTTTTAAACACCCTGGAGGTGCTGTGGCCCTAATTTAATGTGAAGTGTGTTCAACGTGACCATCTGTGATGGGTGGTGCAAACTCAACTGCTGTTATGAACTTGAAAGTCATTTAAAAGAGAACTGGCTGGAGCGAGAGAGATGTATGTAGGGAGGGAACAATGGGGGTTAAATATCCATTTTTATTGGCGGTATTTGTGGAGAAGTTACTGCAGGACTTTAAAGTTTTCAAAATGGGTAGATGAAAGGGGCAGAGTTAGAAAACTGGCAACCCGTGGACCTGCTACTCACTCAGTTTAGCCCTGGAGCCAATTCCTATAAAACAGTATGGTTCAAAAATTTGAGGATGTGAACTCCATTCTGCAAATATCACCAAACATAGGCATAGATTCAGCTGTCGCCGATTGGTTTTTGAAGAGGGACTCTGAAGCACAGAGATGTCAGTCACCGAATTAATGACGGTAATTCCTGCAAAAAAGCAGAGACCCCTTTTCGACAAATCAGCCACATTTACTCTTCCCTTGAATACAAACAAATCATTTTTTCCTCATCAACAAATAAAGGAGCTATAGACCCAAACTGTGTATGAAACCAGGTTTACTTCAAATGTCTTTAATCCTGCTTTAATTTTCATAAAAATGGGCCCTAATTTGATTGGATTAACTTTTGGATCGAGCCACGAGTGGACACTCAAGGCATTGGATTCCTTCGTTGCAGCTTGGCAAAGGTATGTGCCATTATGAGCTGAAAGAAAAAGTGAAGTGGAACAAGAGAGGTATGCCTTCCAGGTATGGTGGGAAACACATGAAGTGGCTTAGAAGGCTGACTGGGGTGTTTGGTGGGCCTGGGGGAGAGAAGAAAATCTGGCAAAAAGGTTTTTCAGGCTAAATTACTGCTTCAAAACACATCGGGAGTGTTTTTTTCATGCGATTATTTCGGACGTTAGTATTTTTTTTTCGAACCCATATCCTGTCAATACAAGCGTTCACATCAGCGCTGTTGTCCCGTCCTGCAATATTGCGGCACTTATTTTTTTGTATCACGATCGAATGTTTTTAAGTTTCGCATACTGTGTGTCCACTTCTGACCAATCAGATTGCGTGTTGTTGCGACGTCAGATTCACCGGTATATCCAACATGGCCGACCGGCTGATCGTTTACATGTCGGAGAACCGAGTTTTTTGATAAAAAAAAACACAAATATTACAAAGATGATGATCTAAAGGACAACTTGTGGAGAGTCATAGTGTCGGATTTCTCATATGACGATGGTTTGTGTGCTTTAACAGTTTGCTAAACGTCTTTGTTTTAACTTTCATCTGTGCTAAGTAACTTTAGCTCGTAAGCTAACCTGTTCAGATACAACATACCATATGTATTTTCACTGTCTCAAACTCAATCGTGTTGCTGTCACAGCACCATTAGGTCTCGGTTGTTACCTTACATTTATGGATTATAGTTTAATGTGTTTATCTGGTACTGGCCTCGACTCAGTACATGCTATCATGACAGACAGACATCTCAACACTAGTGTCTAATCAGAACTGAAAAACAGTCAGTCTGCTGTTGTGTCAGTCCTCTCGCTTCCACCCGGGACGTGTCTTTTTTACCTCCCTGCAAAGTCGCATCGTGCTTGATGTATATAGTCAGGCACGTCAAAATTCACCTCAGAATATTTCGTAATTTTGTGTCGTATATTTGCGCCGTTCCTGGTGTGTAAGGACCTTTAATGTGCTAACTTTTGATTCCTGGTTTATCAAGGGAAGGATTAGCTGTATTTTCTGTGTATAGCTAATCAAAGCATTGGAAAATGTACCTGATAGGTCAAAAGTGAAACGAGAGTATTAATAAAACCATCTGCAGGTCAAGGTCCGGTGTCCTGTCCTGCAATCCAGGCAACAGCATAGAGCTGGTGAGTAGATCTGTGATCATACAGAGTAACTTTAACCATAGGTGGTACTAATAATAACAAAAAATGGTAGAAGTTAAGAGTTGAGTGTAATGTTAACTCATCATGAAAGTAGGCCATGGCAGTATCACCAACTAAGGACTATTTATGAGTCATGAATCAACATTTCTAGTTGATCTATGTATGTCTTTAGTTGCTAAATGGCTTAAACCTGCATAACCACCCACTTATTATACATTATAATTCACATAATGGACTGTAGAGTCCTCTAAATCTTAAAAGAGTTGGGCACTTAGGCTATGATGATAAAAATGATGCTGCCCTCTTTGTCATCAAAATTGCCATTCCCATGAGAAAATGGTTAAAAGCACAGAAACCCTTCAATCTGGCGACGATATAAAAGACAAGAGCACTGTTGTAGGCAGAGTGCTGGAAATGAGTTAAAGATGAGAGTTAACTGTCAATAATTTAATTTGTTTTTACTGCTTTGTATTTCCTTTTATTTTCCTGAACGTTTGTTTTAAATCAAAAGGGGAAAGAAAACAGGCGAGATCTGTTATCTCTGCAGCTGTTTAATATCCTGCCTGATTAAAAAGGGAAATTTAAATGAATAGAAAATTATTTGTTGACTCAGAATCTGGTGGTTCTTCTCCTGAGGTGTTTAAAAGCACCGGTTCCTGAAAACCATAAATCGGAGTGAGACTCAGACTGTGAGTTATTAGAAAGTGACAATGATTGATGGAGTCCTGACCTGCTGCTGCTCTTTGTGTTTACTCGAACCCATCACAAAACAGGGATTAAACCTGGTTTACGACTTTAGTAACTGTCATCTTGTTTACAGCTGAGCCTTTCACCGCACTCTCCTCTTAATCCTCGCCACCTCCTCCTCTCTTTTAAAAATGCACGCACAGCATTGTCAGTCTCTCACAATAAAAGTGGCCCTACTTTCACTTTGATGTTTAAAAAAAGACAGGATCGTCTTGCCGCGCGTTGTAACCCAAGAGATTTGGAGACGGGTGCAGCTTAAGCGTGCATCTGGGGCTATAATAAGTCATCAATGATGTTTATGGCTTGTAAAAGCTCTCTCTGGGCTGGATCTGAAAAACAGTCTGGGTCTGTGTGTAAACCTTATTACCAGGCCATTTAGAGGGAATGTAGAGGGTGATTTTGACAGAGTTCGTTTACAGGTTGACAGAGAAGCATTTGATGTAGAGCCTTAGGGAGAAGTTCCAAATATGTAGCATTAGCATGCATAGTGTGTGTTTTCACTGAATTCAATAAAGGGAGACTAAGTGACTTTTTCTAAAGGCAATGTATGAGAAACAGAAGTAGAAAGAGTCATTAAGTCAATTTCAGCTCATGTCAGTTCGGAGCTAATAAGCTGCAAGAATTGTTAGCTAAGAAACAGGCTAGTTCAGCAAGATTGTTGAATGCATTCATTACAGAAAGGTTATGATTTTTCCTGCCGTTTACAAATATTACCTGTAAAAGTAAAGAAAAGAACATTTTTAGGGATTAAAGGTCCTTACACAAGAATGATGCAAATATACAATGTGAAATTACGAAATATTCAGAGGCGAATTTTGACGCGCCTGACTCTACACATCAAGCGTGATGCAATTTTGCGACTTTCCAGGGGGAAAAAGACGCGTCTCAGGTGGAAGTGAGAAGACTGACACAACACCAGACTGACTGTTTTTCCATAAATGTAAGGCAACAACCGAGACCTAATGGTGCTGTGACAGCAATGCAATTGAGTTTGAGACAGTGAAAATACATATGGTATGTTGAACAGGTTAGCTTATGAGCTAAAGTTACTTAGCACAGATGAAAGTTAAAACAAAGACGTTTAGCAAACTGTTAAAGCACACAAACCATCGTCATATGAGAAATCCGACACTATGACTCTCCACAAGTTGTCCTTCAGGTTGTTATCTTTGTAATGTTTGTGTCTTTTATCAAAAAGCACTCTGTTCTCCAACATGTAAACAATCAGCCAGTCGGCCATGTTGGATATACCGGTGAATCAGACGTCGCAACAACACAAAATCTGATTGGTCAGAAGTGGACACACAGTATGCGAAACTTTAGAAAAATCTACCGTGATATGAAAAAATAAATGCTGCAATATCGCAGGACGGGAAAACGTCGCTGATGTGAACGCTTGTATTGACAGGATACGGGTTCGAAAAAAAATATTGACGTCCGAAATAATCGCACGAAAAAAACGCTCCCGGTGTGAAAGGACCTTAATTCATTAGCATAGCACTTACGACACAACAAAGTGACACAAAGGCGAGCAACATTTGGCGCCCCCATGTGGACAAAGCAGTCAAAGCTCATTTTGTCCTCTCAATGTTCCAACAGTGTCCTCTGACAAAAAAATCTAGTTTTTTCAAGTGGAAAATGAATTTTAGCCTTTTTCACACCTGCCAAAAAATTCCTTATAGGAGCTTTAATTTGTGGGAAAAGTTTAATCTACAATCATCACATCATAAGACCTTATTAGAGCACATTTCATCAAAAATTAAACTTTGCTGACTAGTCATGTGTTACATTAATTTTAAAAAATCACTTTGATGACAGTTAATCTTGTCCAAAATTTACAAAAATCATTATTAACGTTAATTGTCTGGCCCCTTCTGCTGAGTTGAAAACATTTTCATTTCAGGTCAAACTTTGCTTAAATTGTTGCGATCCATCTTACCTTATAACAGGAGGGTTCGAATCCATCATTTTCAGGTTAACAAAACGTCTTTTGGCAAACCCACTGCTAAAAGTCTTTTTGTTGCGCTAACTGTGATAATGTAAGTCAGTCAGTGGCGTACTGATGCTACCCAGTTGCAAAAAGGTACTTTTTTACAAGAGGAGTCAAAAAGTTCTGTGATTAGAGTCACAAATACCACTACTACTACTACTATATCTAGAAGGAGATACTAGGAGATAACTTTCATCTGCACAATAAAAAAAGCATTAATTTATATATTTTTTTCCTTCTTGCATTAAGAAAACATTGCAACATCTCTTTTTTTTTCATCATCATGCATCCCTAATTGATACTTTTTTGACATACCACAAGGACAGCTGTGAAATCAATCTACCTTTGCTTTGCCGATGCAATTATCACACCGAACAACAGGGATACTAAAAGGAGGGCAAATAAAAAGCACACACACACATACACATAAACATAAACATTCAGTCTTGCACATTACAAGCGTGATTCTAATTATCTTTGAATGTTTCACACATTAGCAAAGATTTAACTTCATCGCAATTAAAAAACAACCCCATCTTCCAGTCGGACTAATTACTCCCTAGAATAAACTTCATTATCACAAGTCACACTTTCCATCACACCTCAGCTGTGCTGTCAGTGACTGAGCAGTCTCTGCAAAACCACCGCAGAGCTCTTTCTCCCCCCTGTGGCGTCTCGGCGTCATTACACCACAAGTCCACCTGTCATAAAGCAGCCTTCAACAAAACGCTCAGCTATTTCATGCATCATTAACATGCATCAACCGCTGACAATAATGAGGATAATTGGATTTTAAATGAACACAGTTCTTAATTTGTCTCAGGGATTGATGGGGATTATTGATGTGTGCAGCCTGCGTTCATTTACACTCATCTTTCATTGCTGTTTGTTTGCTGTGTCCTCATATCAACCCGACACCTGAGTATTTAACAGCAAGGTAAACACTGCTTTACGACTGTGATGAATGTTTTAATGTTTGTGAGTTTAATACTGGTTTACAGCCTTTACTCGCATGTTTTCGACTGGTGTGGTTTCCTGTACTTCAGAACCAAATCCCATTGATTTTTTTGCAGAGATTACTTTTACTCTAATACTATATCAAGGACATGTAAGGGACTTATACGGACAAATCTAAACCTTTTCAGAATATCTTTCAGTTAATGTTTCACTTGTTTGACTGCTCAAGAAGTGCATATGAACAATCGGATTGACATCTCCTGGTTCTGTTGTGGTTTTTTTGGGGTTTTAAGTTGGAGGAAATGCAATACTCTTTCCTGCACTATGTATTAGCTCCTCAAGTTCAACATGTTCATAAAGGCAAAATCATTTACTTGTGGTAAAGTAGGAAAAAACTGAACTTTTAGGCTATGTTCACACTGCAGGTCAATTCCGATTTTTTAACCATATGTGACACATATCGGAATTTTTCATGTAAGTGTGAACAGTGCAATTCTGAATTTTTCAAATCCGACCCAGGCCTCTTTCTGTATGTGGATATAAATCGGATATGTATCCGATGTGACTGCAGTGTGGACGCTCAGGTCGCGTTCATCCGACCAACACGTCATCAATATGCGACAAACGTCACCATTGTAAGACAACAGAAACAGGCGTGGAAAGCAATTTGTGCTTTTTGGGCATGGGGGTCACTTCACAGACGCATTCCGTTCACATTAGATGCTGCATTCGTTGTTGAACGACCGCACAAAATGATCGGATTTAACAAAAAATTCGAATTGTGCATCATAACTTGCAATGTGAACGTAGCCTCAGAGTATTTATTTCTATATCATTGTGTAAAAGTGTAAAAGGTATTTTTGTTGCAATTACTTTAAAAATGCACGTACTAGCTTTGCTGCCATCACCTGGATTGCAGGACATGGAAGTTAGCATGCAAACAAAAACAGTCACAGTTCAGGTTTGCCTGTGTGACGACAAGTAAAAAGCATGTGCCTGAACTCTTTTCTCCTGGTTGATATTATATCAACAAAGTAGGTCCCGACCGATTTTTAGGCAAGCCGATTAAATCAGCCAATTTTAGCCCGTTTGAGACTAATCAGTAATCTTTTCTGGTCCGAGTTTGATCAGTCGGTCTTCCTGTCGGCATAAAGAGCAGTAGCCTACAGTAAATCTACAGTTTATAGTATACTGTAGATATCTACAGTATATATATATATATATATATATATATATTTTTATAACTTCAGAAATATTTTTTTAAAAATCGGCCATTTAATTGGTAATCAGATTTTTTTCCACCTTAGAAATCGGCCCCCCAAAAATCCATATCGGTCGGGCCCTTCTACAGAGCCCATTCCACACTGCAAAAAATTTAAATCAGACATGGCGCTGTAGTGGAAATCACCACATCGGCTTATAATCACTATTAAAAACCGTTATATTTGCAAGGAAGGGCATTTAAAACCAGATGTAAACATAATCCAGAGGTGCAGCCCATTTCAGATAGACTGTGATCTGCAAATTCTTCCTTTTGGAAATCATGAAACATTATTATTTAACAGTTTTTTTCCCCAAGGACTCAGGATGTCAGTGTGTAATTTCAGAAGTAAAATATCAATGAAACACTTCAATCATGATCTACAAGTCTGAAATGTCCCTGTTTCGCCACTAGATGCTGACAAAGCTCATATGTCGCCACTGAACCAAACCCACTGTTTGTCATCATTCATGGGGTAGTTATTGGTAATATAAATCAACACAAACCAAGTAATAAAAAAACATCATAAGAATGAATTTGCAAATGAAAAAAAATGTCCATCACAAGGTCTTAGTTTCCCCACATCTCTGCAGATGTGCATCCTGCAGAGCTCCCTAATGGCAATGACAGAGGTGCATCTAAATAATTGCTGGAATGGGTTTCACTGTGTAGCTCCATCACTCCTGCCAATCTGCATAACACTGCTGCAACTGACTGTAATTATGATCGGACACAATATCATAGCATGAAGCTTTTCTTGCAGTATTGACTGAACCAGGCTGTAAACAAGGTGGGAAAACAAGCAGGCTGTGAATGATATGATGTTTGCAGACAAAACATCGGGTTCACAGCAATGGAAACCAAGCTGGCTGTGCCACTTTTCACCAGCTTTCCGTCTTTATTCTGTCATTATTGTGCATTTGGGGAAAACAGTATGACACAAAAGTGTAACGCTATGGAAAACTGAGTTATCGATGGGCAATTTCAGCACAAAAGACGTGTTTTTCACTAGAATGTAAATCGTGTTTTCTGTTATAGTTACAAAAAGGCAAAAAACGATTGAGTTAAAGCAACAAACTCCATAGTGCGTTGTCAGTGCAAGGTCTCATAGCTCGCATTTTTCCCCTCAAGATGACAGAGTGTAACTGTTGTGTCACAAAACCCACCAATTGTGAGTGATCTGTAGCATTGTGCGGCTGAAGAAAAGGAACATCACAATCTGGGATGGTTTTCTTTCTTCTTTCTACAAAGAGCAGAAGAAGGTAAATAAAGAGTTCTGTTAGTTTGGTGCCTCAGTCAACGGTGACAAAGAATTTATTTCTTCTCTGCTGTGAAATCTAGTTATTCTGCTTTGTCTGTTTGGGGTACTTTATAAACTTTTGGTTTAAACAAACTTATTATCCATCTTATACTTTCGCTGGTAAAGGAGTCACTCACTATGATTGATGTTACTGAATCCTTTGTTTATAATAAATGATTTGATACTTATATAAATAAATGTAAAATTATATCAAATATTCTCAATATGTTTCAAGTTGTTATTTAAGTGCTTTTGGTGTATTTTTCCCAGTTTTCAGTGTTTCCTGTTTTATTTTGTAGTAGTTGATTCCCTGTGTTTCTAGTCTGGTTTTTACTTCCCTGGTTTTCCCTCCGTCATTAATCACTAACGAGTTTCACCTGTGTCTCGTTAGCCTCACCTGTGTCTCGTTAGCCTCACCTGTGTCTCGTTTGCCTCACCTGTTGCTTGTTAACCAGTGTGCATATAGTCCCTGTCTTCCCCTCTGTCCTGGTTGGTTCATAGTGTTGAGTCTTATTTTATTAAATCCATTTTGTCTGCATTTTTGGGTCATTTTTGGTTTGTTTTATGTATCATTTATGACCTATTCAATGACATTATAACCACCCAATAGTTAAAAATGATTAAAATCGAATATTTCTGTCGTCTAGAGTAAAGTTATGATTCATATTTGATATTTTTAACTCTGAAAAGTTCATGAAACAGGAAAGTTGTTGATTTAAAGGAACTAAACGATGAAGCATTTATTCTGTCAGTGTGATATAGGCAAGCACTAAAATAACTTGAGTAGATGTAGCCATCTTGTTTCCGCCTCCGATTTTGCTTTTTTCCGACTTGGTTACTGGAACCCTGGTAACTCGGGTGTGACGTTATTCCCTGCTCCAACGTCTGACTTCGGGGGTAACTCGAATGCAGCATTAAGGTCCTTTCACACCGGGACCGTTTTTTTGTGTGATTATTTCAGTCAATATTTTTTTTTT